CATCTCTAGACAACTGGACATACCTTGCAGAGGGGTAGTGGGGAGATGAGTCACTTAGGGTACAGTATAGCAATAATGAAACCCACAACCTCCCTCTTTCTTTCTTTATTTGTTTTCTTCATTCTTTATTTCAAAAACTGTCTTTCACCACGGTTATTGTAATCCTTGAACTTTAACATGTGCTACGTCCCCTGGAGGAGTCGTCCCACACTGGGATTGCATCTTAAGCCATTTGACCGGCACGTTGAGAGGCAAGAATGTGTGGAATTACATTTTTTTTCCTAGTAACTTGAGAATTTGTGTTTCATGGAGATGGGATGGATTGGGAGGTGGAGTAAGGTGGGGAGTGTTCCTATTTTACACGATAGAAAACTGAGGCAACATCATCTACGTGAGGTTACCCTGTTCATGAGGCTAGAGGACAGAAAGACAAGTCAAGCTGCTTGAAACCTCTTCCGTGACCCCTGGCCCAGCTGAGGGAGTCGGTGCGTCATGCACCGCTGACTCATGGCATGGGGATTTGACCATCTGAAGGTCTACAAGATCACTGGCTTGGTTTTTGGCTTGTTTCATTTTGCTATTAATGTGCCTTCCTTGTACCTTCAGATCTTGCTGGACGAAGGCCAAAAAGCTGGCAGTTCTTGCCAAGGTGAACTGAATCGTCCAGGGAAGGTGAAGGTAAGGTGTGATTCAGTTTTTCTTTTAGGGCCCAAACAGGTCTCATTTGCTGCCTCTCCTACAAAGTTGGGGAATTTAGTGTTTTGTTTTGTTTTCTAATTGGTGTTTGAGTCCCTGAAGATATCGTTGCCTGACTGAGCTCTGTCTGTTATTCCTTCCACACTTAAATGGGAGAGGAGTGCTTTCGTAGAAGAACACGCCTCTACTTCTCTTTAGTATAAAAATTCACTGCCATTGAGCCATTTCCACCCCCTAGTGACCCGGTCGGACAAGGTAGATCTGACCTCCTGAGGTGTCTGAGACCAAGACTGTAACTCTCTGCTGGAGTAGAAAGCGTTGTCTTTCTCCTGCAGAACAGCCCGGCACGTAACCACTGCACCACCAGGGTCCTCCTTAGTATTTACTGTTAAAAACCCTAACAGATCTTCTAGTCCCGGTACTGAAAAGGTCACATGGGGGATAAATACATTGCCAGGATGCGGAGAAGTAACGACAGCTACAGATTGAGAAGCAGTGGAAGCGACAGTCCTATGTAATAGCCATAGTCTGGCCGGGCAAGTCTGGGGATGAAAGACCCAGCCTGTCTTTTGAATTTCAGTTATGAAATCTCACTGTGTTCTTTTAGAGTATTTGTCATGCACATGTTTAAGGTCTCGGACATAAAAGGCATATGACATTATGCCTTTACCCCTGTACCAGTGGTGAAGTCATTTTCTTATTTACACCCTCTGATACTCACCTGAGATGAATCAGTTCATGTCTGAAATGCTACCATTTCGTTCATCTAAAATGTCTCATTGTCCGTGCACTGTGGAATGCAGTATTCCACACGGAATGGTGTGCATTGAAATGCTGTTGCTGTGTCTGTAAAGGTCATTTGCTCTGCTTTTTACCTTTGAAGTAATTTTCAGCTTTATTTGCTCGAACGAGAAAACACTTGATTTTTTTGCCCTCCTCGCCTCTCTTGTGATTTAGGCCGGGCGAGATGGTTTTGTTTTGAATGAACTTCTCTCCCCTTTTCTTTGGTTTCCTGTCACTGGCTTTTCACGGGGCTGTAAGAAAGCACTCGCTATGATAACGGACCATTATTTTGAGAGCACAAGTAATACAGACGAGACCCTGTGAAACAGAAGCAGAGTGTGTGCATCTCGGCTGTGAAGTATGGTCTGGGGGAACATCTGGAGCAAAGTCCCTTTTCAAAACAATCTCCAAACAGTTTTGTTTTGATCATAGAGGCCAGGCGACGGTGTCCACAAGATCCAGGCTGATTTCCAAATGCCCTGCTTCAGTCAGATGTCGCTAGGAGAGCACAGAGGAAGGATCTTCAAACATTTGTGGGAAGATGGGCTGGAGAGACATGGGATTTTCGTGAGGACTTTCTGAAGCTCCCTCATGCGGGAAAAGCAGTCAGCTGCTCACTTGAGTGCTGTGGAAGTGGATTCACTGACTCTTAATTTTACTTTTTCTTTGAGGGCCTCACATACATAAAAGCAATGTCAATCTTTTTCTAGGTAGACAGCTTCCTAGATTTAGAAGACTTGGACATGGATGAAGATACTCAGCCCCAGATGAGCAGGGGTACGCCTTTTGTTCTTTCTTTCTATCTCACGTGACCTCTTTCTCAGAATCACAAATAAGGCTTTAGACAGCTTTTCGCTGCTTCTAGAAACCCTGGACCTCCGCTTATCACTGGGCTGGGCAAATGGTTATTAGCTGGGTTGCTACCCATCAGTTTGGTGGTCCCAGTCCAGGTCGATGCACACAGCTCTGAAGAATGGCCTGGGGATCAAATTTCAAACCAGCAGCCCTAGTCTGACGCCCCTGGGATCTCCATGAGCCAGAATTGACTCAAGGACAGCTGGTACTGGTAGTTCCGCCTCCTCTGAGATGGGGAACTGGAGTCCTGCAAACTTCTTTCTCAGGAAAGCAGATTTCAGCTCTTGGTATTGCAATGCCTTTGAGCTTACGTGAAAAAAAGGTGGCCACGCTCCAACTTCCCACCTGGCTGATTCTTGGCTCTCTCAAAATAGCGCCATTGTAGTCAAACTCTGCATTCTCAGAAGCACCTGTTGGAAATTGAGTTTATTTTTGAGGGGTTCTTAAGAGAATCAGTTGATTATAAAAACCACAGAAATAATCAGAATGGGGCACACAACTACACCAAGAATGAAATCTGTAATTTTGCTTCTAGAAATATTGATTAAAGGGGGACAGTTTTTGAAACAAACCCAGGACTTTCTGTTCTCCTTACTAAGGTTTGCCTTGCGAGAAGCTGTAGACCAGAGCCCAACAGATTGAGGGTGGAGTGGGAAGGTGGTGTGCACATGCTTAAGTAATATAAAAATAAAATAGGCCCCGGATCTGTGAAACAAAACAGTTAATAATATTGAGTTCTATTAGAAATGTTCCCTCTGGAGCATTTTTCCTCATGGTCTGGGCTGGGAAGACTTCCTGATGTTTGCCCATCAATGTCTATGGTGCCAGCTTCCTGTCCTGGCTAAAAGTTCCTATGACAGCTTCTGTGTCCAGCTTCGCTCAAAGGACCTTTGAAGTGTGTTGATGATGAGGGTTGGGCTGATATGCAAGGGTAGCTCCAGGTCCTAATGTTAAACACTTAAGGAAGGGGACAGTTTTCCTGGGGCTGTGGGATACTTGTTGGTCTCACTTTAGGTAGTCATAGACTGGACTTGCTGCCAGGATTGTTGGGGGTGGGGTGGGTCACATTGATAATCAGACAGGGGTTAAAGTGACAGGTACAGTTGATTTGGGGGTAGCAACTATCTGCTAACTGGCTGAAGAGGCCCTTGCTTTGTCTCCTCTGGCTTCTCAGAATTTGAGAAGTTTTGCTAACTTAAAGCAATTCATATTTTTAATCAAAAAAATCAGCCTACGCCATTGAAGGGGTCGTTTCCCGTACGAACTATTAACCAATACAGATGTTTGGTTACTTCTCTGGCTCAAGTGAGATGCGGGATCTAAAGGAATCCCATCCTCCAGGGAGAGGTTCTCTAACATTACCACACAGGCAGCTCATGGTTTCCACAGAACAACGGTTCCGACTGCATTAGAAGAAGGGTGAGCTAAGGACCTGTCAGGATGCTGCATTTTCCCTTCGCTGGTGGGGAGAGGGCATTTGTTAAACTTGAGGATTGCAGAGCCCGGTTTCCTAGAGGCAGGCTCCATTAGATGGTTTCTGGTGGCCCATAGGTATGTGTCGGCTGTTTAAAGGCACATCCCAGATCATTCTGATGCTGGAGGTCCGTGGACGATGGCATGTGGAGACAAATGCTTCCAGTCTGCCTGTAGTGCATTAATCTTTCAGGAGGACACACAAGCGCATGTGTTAGAAATTTTTGTGATGGTTTAGCTTTCTTGCCTCCCATCTGCAACGAGATGGTCCGTATGCTGATCCAGACAGAGCAAAAGCATCACAGGGATAACTCATCTGACTCGTACTGTATCAGGCTTTTAAATTAGCCTTTCGTTCCTTTTACCATGATTTTCACATGGTTTTCTTTAAACAATTTTAAGGTTACATAACTTTAATGACTAACTCCATGTCTTTGACTTAAAAAACCCAGTGAAAAGGTCTCCCTAGGACGATTTTTTCTTCTAGGAATCCGATAACAGACCGTCTTGCATTTGTATGTACAAGGTTGCTGAGGCTGAACCGAGTCTCCGTGGACTTGAGGGAGCGAGTCAAGACCGTCCCACGTGTACAAGAATGCACAAAACCAGGGCCGAAACCTCCGGCCCCACCCCCACCCACCCCCTGCCTCAGAGATCTAGTGCAATTACTGAGACGACCACCGGGACTTCACATTTTCATGACGCACAATCTGGGTCCCTCGAAAAGAAATAATGAAAAATCTGTGCCAAGGTGAATCTCAGTTTGGGCTTAATTTGTATTACACTTCAGCTATGTGAGCAGAAGGCAAATATTTATATCAGATGGGAAATGTGACATTTTAAATAGGCAAGTTGCTTGTATAATTTTGGCAGCTGGGAGGTTTACTGATTAGATTATGTTGTTATTGTTTAAGCAACAGATTTGCCTCGGGCAACCAGGAAGTGGGTTGCATATTGTTTTTCTGCCACCGCCTTTATTTGCTCACCTTCTTCGCGCTCATGAATATTCGCCAGCATCCAGGAGCAGGATTCTTTCTCAATATTTGGCTTATCATTTTGGCAGGCGCGGGGGAGAAGGAGAACGGTTTCTTTTGAGGAGCCAACTTTGCACAGTGGCTCCGAGCCTGAGAGTAGCATGTGGGCATCACAAAGCTTGATGCCCCACGATTGCCAAGTTAGCCCCTTTGTTGCTCCTTTGCATTAGCGCGAGGGGGAGTTAACTTAAGGATAACCGTACTGAGCATGTAACAGTCGCTGCCATGCACAGACGAGCTGGCTCAAACCGTGAGTCAGCAGAATTATTTTTCGAGATGGGTACTACTCTCATGCTGAGGCCGCTGGAGAAGGAACAAGGAGTCTTCCTTTGGGCCAGCCATTTTGTATTTCTTTCCCTCGCACTTACTCCAGCTTGCTCTCTGGCTGAGGCCAGTTGTAGTGCTTTGCACATGTCGTTTGGCTGGTAAGTATCCTGAAAGCTATGGGTGATAGTGTTGGTTGAGAATGGACACTCATTCTCGCTCAGAGATGGGTGGCCTGGTTTGGATTTTATTTTCACGTTCTCTACTACTCACAGATAGTCTGTTAATGGCTCAAAAAAAGAAAAGAAAAATCCCACAAAACTCACTGCCATTGAGTCCATGCTGACGCACAGCGACCCTGTAGGACGGGGGCTGCTCCTTGGGGTCTCTGAGTCTGTGCCTCTTCATGGAGTAGAAAGTCTCATCTTTCTCCCATGGGCAAATTGGTGGTTTGAACTACTGACCTTGCAGATAGTAGACCAAAGCATAACCACTGAACCACCAGGGTTCCTGTTATTAATGGCTAAGGGAATGCCACGAGGGGTATTAGTTAGTGCCCCCTTTTATTCTCTGCAACTTGAAGCTTTTCATGACCCAGTTGTTTTCTGCTTTGAGCTTTTTGGTGGTACTATATGCTTGCATTAATGGAAGGTACGTGAAAGATGGGTTTGGTACGTATTATGGGGGACATGTATATCCCTCTCTACCATGAGGCAAGGTCTAAGGGGCACACATGTTACTCCGGACTCTGGAGGTAAAGTTATCTGTAGCACATATGTCTCTGGATGTGGGAAGGGTCCGTGGGACATCTGTGTCTGGACTCTGAACTGCCACCTAGATCCTTCCGAAGATGCGTGACTGTGGTGTCATTGTGACAAAGGCAGCTTCCAAAGAAGCCACAGGAGCCCACGAATAAGAGGCTTTCACAAGGTTTATGGAAACATAGAATAAAAAGATAGTGGAGTTTTCTCCAGAACTTTTTGAAAGCTTATACCAACCAACCCCCCACCCAAAAAAACCAAAAAGACAAAAATTTTACAAAGACTCTGTGAAGATGCATTACCTCACATGATAACTTGTGGCACACACCCACTGCACAGCTCCTAGTAAATTAGAGGAGGGACGTGTCTGTGGGTGCTCCCCACAGGTCCCCACGGGTCATGAGAGGGCTAAGCAACGTTAGACGGCTTTATGCATGATCTGTCACTGACGGTGCTCTACTTGCGAATGGCGTGACATGTTCCTTTTGGTTATGAACGCATCACTGTTCCTCTTCAAAGTATCAGTCTATTGTATAGTAGATGATCGATGGTCAGTAGACATCCATTTCCACTGATCATGCCTAGGATATTGATCTTTAAGCATTTTGTTTTATGTTTGACACCTCTCATCTCTTCTTAGTTCACACTTCATCAGAGCCACATTCTAATTATAGTGGATGGTTGTAGCGATTTCTCCTCACGTTGAGCCATGCCACATCAGCAAACGAGGGACTCAAAAGCTTGCCTAAACTCCCATCATTGAGATGGGCCCCCCCTTTGAGGAGGCAGCTCTTCCACAGTTGTATTTTGAGTGTATTCCGGCCATGACCACATTCACAGACAATGTACGGCTGCTAATCATAGGCATTCAGTGGGCCAGTTTTTAAGAAGTCTAGCGGGGGAAGCGGGGAGGGAGGGGAAAAATGAGGAGCTGATGCCAGGGGCTTAAGTGGAGAGCAAATGTTTTGAGAATGATGAGGGCAATGAATGTACAAATGCGCTTTACACAATTGATGTATGTATGGATTGTGGTAAGAGTTGTATGAGACCCTAATAAAACGATTAAAAAAATGATAAATGGAGAAAAGACAAAAAAAAAAAAAGAAGAAACAAGGGCATGGTTTGACTGTTAACAAGAGGCTATAGCACATCATTTAGCATTAAAATAAAAAATGCAAAAGCAAATAAAGAAAAGTCAATCTCCAGGCCCTTTTATGTAGTTCGTCTTAGTCTGGAAACATCAGTAGAGTCTTTCTATCCACCATGGACAATCCAACATCAGCAATATGCAGGCCCCCCCTAGTAAGACAAACCGATAGGACAATATCAACGCCTACACGAGAGATCAGCTAATACGACTGTCTTTTCAAATTTTACACACCAACCACTGATGGCAATGATAAAGAAATGGAAATCTTTACCAACTAGCCAGTCGGAAATTCCTCATCCATGTAATCAAGATGCATTGGTAATTACTGGTGACTGGAAGGCAAGAGTTGTGAGAAAAAGGGTCAGTCATTAGAAAATAGCACTTTGGTGATAGAAATGAAGTGAGAAATCACATCATAAAATTATGAACAACTAACAATTTATCTATTGAAAATACTTTATTTTCAACAAAATATGCAGTGAGTATTCATGTGAACCTAACCAAATGGAATGTACGAGAACACACTGCGTACATGGAAGGACATGGTGGATAGTTCAATATTCCAACTCTGCGTCACTTGCCTTTTTATTGTGTTGGCGTTTGCGCTGCTGCTGCAGCAAAGCTAATGGTGTGTAAAGACAGCGCACCTTCAGGTGAATCAAGACAGTGGCACCAAACTGTACTTGTTGCTGAAATTAGCCAAGATGGTGATTGTAGGCATGAGGAAAATAAAGCCTTTGGACCTTTAGAAAGGACCATGATTAAAATCAGATTAAGTTTCTGTATGCACTTCATTTTCAGAAACGTTTACAGTAAAACTCAGAAATTCCATTTCCCATTATCAGTGCATACAATCATTCTATATATTTCATAAATAGATAAATCATATTCAGAAAATATAGCTGTATAAGTAGCCCACCCATGATTATAAAACGTTTGAAAGGTGACTGTTTCTTTTTCTTGACATATGCGGTCCCAGGCTTTTCTTTTTCATGCTAGGTTCACCCGCTAGTAGCTCTCTGCCACCTTGAGCGTTAAAGTGATTCAATTTTGTTCTTGAATATTCTCACCCAGCAGACTCATCCCGGTGACAACATTTAGTACTCGAGGGCAAGGACTAGACTTATTTCACATCATTCACAAAGTCATTTTGTCAGGTAGATTCTTGATACTTGCTGCTCAGTGTAAAAGCTGAGATGCTGGAAATCCGTTTCCTGCCTGCAAGTATCAGTTGAGAATTTACTGTGGGTAATGGGAGCGGGTGAGGCTGTGTGAGGTGCCAGTAGAGATAGGTGTTTGCTTTCACAGTGAAGGAACTAATGGCAGGGTTTAAAATGTGGAGGTTTTCGAGTCTTATTTATTTGTTTTGGGAGAGAATTGGTTCCCATGGCAATAGGATTTTTATGGAAGAAACCATTTTTTGTTAAAAACCCTACCTCCTTGGCAAATAGATTTGGGAGGTGAAAAGTGTCATCGAAGGGTTTTCACTGTGGCCCTCCTGGCTGCCCGATGCCATCAGTCAGAAGGAAGATTTTAAATAGCCCTGGAATCAGAATTCATTCAATTTCCCATTTGAACCAGTGTTTGCACTGATATCAGTGGTTCTGGTAGATACCGCAGTTCACATTAAGTGGCCAGACCTAGGCAGTTACATCAGGGAACACAGTAAGGGAGGTTAGCCTTAAACTCACAAATGAGTGCATTAGGCAGCCAGACTTTCTGCTAACCTTTCCTGGATCAAAAATGACTGCTGTTCCAGGTCTGAAAGGTTGGGCCAGGGCACTGGACACCAACTCACCACAGTAAGGGCATTTCCAAGCCTTGCGTATGGATGTGTACGCTGATAGACTGAAATCAGATAGCTAATGGGAATGCTTTGGTGAATAGTGTGACATTGCTGGCTAAGCGCAGGGGCTGTGCAGACAGACTGGGTGGCTCTGCCTCTCTCCCGCTGTGGGATCTTGAGTCGGTTGCTCCTTGTGCTGAGAACTTATTACTGCAAAGCAGGAAGCAATACAGCTGTTGGGAGGATTAACTGGGTTGATGCGTAGACAGTGTTGGGGACATAAGTGCTTGCTATTATTAATTTTATTTCTGAGAAAGAATTTATTGCTTTTCTAAGATTGCAATAATTAATAGCAGTAGGACTACCTTCTTCATTATCCACCCCGACCAGCTTCTTGGTTTCTAGGCGGCATTTTCTGGTGTTGGAATGTAAGAATTCTGTGATTATGGTGTGTGTGTGTGTGTGTGTGTGTGTAGGTCCTAGGTTCCCAAACTTATTATGTGATTATGGGGTGTGTGTGTGTGTGTGTGTGTGTAGGTCATAGGTTCCCAAACTTATTAGGCCCACTGACCCCTTTTCAGGAAAAAAAAAAAAAGACTCAGCACATCCCTGGCAATGAAAAACTTTTGTGCTATAGCCTATACTTAGGATAAAGCCTGCTTTTTGTAGCTCTCTCAGATTTTCCCAGCATCTCCCAGGGGTGGCATCACCCACTTTGGGGCACACTGGTGTCAGTGATGTCTGCGTGGTGAGAGAGATGCATTTCAAATAAGTTTCCGTGTTTGAATATCAATACCTGTTCGTTGAGCTCCTTATATTGCTGCCATTGGCAACAGCCAAGGCATGCCTGTTACTAATTAATCACTTCTACTGAGAACTTAATTAGTGGCTTAATTAGGATCATCATTGAGGAGCAGGCAGCAGCAGCAGCATCCTGAGCCAGCCGCAGGTTATTGGCTAGCTCTGGCGAGCCCTCTGGTCCTATGGAAACTTAGAACCACGGAGGAAACCTGTTGCTCTGCTGCTGCTGCTGGCTTTGTGCTTTTGTGTCCTCATTAGCGGAAGCTGGCAGATAGATCATCCGTTGCCTGTGATGCATCTGTATCTGTCACCCGGCGAAACTCAGGAAGCATCGTCCCTTACAATGGACCGTCCACGAAACTGAGATTGGTTATTGGATGCTAAGTGGGCGGGGAGCATGGGGTTGATTCCAAGTGCTGAGAATTAGGTGGCGCATTCTGACGAAGACAGAGTGTTTTATTTCTCTGCTGGAAGCTCCTTTCCTTCTGGCGTCATTGTTTTTAATATATATATATATATTTGAAATATTGCCACACTGTTGCTGGATGAAACAAGCACTCTATTTTCTTTCTCTCTACCCCTCAGGAAAATAGGGGGAAATAAGGCAAAAATCATATCTCCTTGCTACATTTTCTTATTGAAATAGAAATTAGCTGTGTAAGGGGTGGGGAGGTGTGGAGTGGTGGGTGGGGTGGGAGTTGGGGGTGGGTGGGTAGGTGGGGGTTGAATGGCATGATGAATTTGCTGCCACAACACCATTTCAGCCAGACCCTTTGGGTCGAATGCAATTTGGCAATCTATCAAATCGACTGCCATTGTGGTGTCCGACCCCTGACAACCGTGTACAGGGATTCCAAGGTGCTCAATCTCTAAGGGAGCAGGCAGCCTCCTCTTTCTCCTGCGGTGTGGCCGAGGTAAGGTTCGAGGTGGGGTTCGGAGTGGGCTTGGCCCCTCTGCTATTGGGTTTAGTAGTCCAGGGCCTCCCTGACAGTGCCACCAGGTGAAAAGAAGTGTACCAAGTCTCAGTTTCATCAAAAAGAGGATCACTTGAGTCAGAATAAGAATGCTCCCAAACCCAAACGCTGTCCAGTTGCCTCTGACTCATGGTGACCCCACGTGAGGCATTGTCAAACTCCCCCTCCATCGAGTTTTTGTGGCTGTGGCATTTTGGAAGCAGGTTGACAGGCCTTTCATCTGACACAGCTCTGGGTGGGCTCGAACTGCCAACCTTTTTGTTAGTTGGTGAGTGTTTATCCACTTGGTCTTCCCAGGCAGGTGCTATGAAACGGACCTATTCTTCACCTGGACATATTTGCCTCCTACTTTTGACTATTCTAGAAGTTTCTGTGGCTTAGGTGAATGTGGGAGCTTCATGAAAGGATCAAATGAAACATTTTCTGTCCCACAGATTTGCTGCTGCTTCCAGGAGAAGTGGAGCAGGACTTGGGCCCCCGCGCTCCTTCTTACATTCCTTCCACAAACCAGCTTGTTACCCCTGAGGTGCAACCAAGGCCCACCGCCTGCAGAGCCGGCACACCCATGGAAGAGGTACCCCTTGACTCAGACTTGGGCAAACTTGGAATTCATGTTGCTTCATTGGACCCTCTCCCTGCCACCCAGTGCTGTCATGTGCATTTCTTTTTGGCCACATAGAGCAATTATGTCTTTCTGTGGAAATTATTTTTGTGTCATCAGGTGTGCCACACAGCATGGCAATGCTACTTGGCGACAGAGGAGTGGAATGGACAGACAGTTCTCTTACCTCTCTCAGTCTGAACCGGCCCGTTTTCTTTGTGTGATTGTCTCTCAGGTCCTATAAGCCTTTGGGACTTGTTACGGGCAGGCCAGTGGATTTTGTAAGAGAACCCCAGGATTCGTTCAGTGGCTTTTCATTCCTCTTGAGTTCACGGTGAGGAGCATCCGGAGGCCCTGTTCCCTGGAGTCATTTGGGGACCTCAGTTCCTTCTCTGTGGATCCCCGCTATTCCTTAGAGCATTGTCCTCCTCTCAGGTTCCAAGGCAGGTCTTTGTTACCCCTGGAGGAAAAGGGATGAGAGCCAGGGAGTGCGTACTCCCCCCAGATGGAGGGTCCAAGGCCCTTCATTTCTGCTGCGGTTTCATTGGCAGCCACTTGCCACTTAGCCACAAGGGAACCTAGGAGTTGGCATCTAGCCATGGGTTTCAGAAGCAGGGCAGGAATCTCTACTACACTTTTATCTCCCCAGTGCCCCACTTGGAAGTCCTCCTCTAGCATCATTTTGCATTTTGCAACTCTTCTACATGCCCCGAACAAGGGTGCCCCAGCCAAGGCTGCTGGTGGTGGAGGAGAGGGGTCAGCTCCTCAGTATACACTACAGGAGGAGCAGAGACAAGGAGTTGTCAAGCCTCTTTGAATAAAGTCCCTGTGGGTTTCTGGGTTATTTAACCTTTCAGATGTGAGCTTTGCCACTGCAAGACGCTGCCTAACAGAGGTGGTCCTTCCATCGAGAAACCCACTCATTGGGATTTCTGTTGCCCTTTTCTCCCCAGACTCTTGTTCCCAGACTTCCCACAGGCCCATCTTGGATGTTTGCAGACTTATAGTAACTTCCCACATTGGTTACCAGGTAGAACTGGTAGAGGTAGCTGTTTTTATTGTACTTTGAGGATTACAAATTGCTTTCTCTGATAAGTAAGAAGCTAAACTTACAAAGTAATGTCTAGCAAGAATCAACTCTGTTCAAGAACTTCTTTTGTTTTTACTTGTGACTATACAAGTTTGTAGCTCAGCGATGGTCCTGGCCCCGAGGGTCACTGTGTTGTTGTTAGGGGTCATCAAGTGGGTCCTGCCTCCTAGCAGTCCCCTGTGTCACAGGATGGGGCCTGGTCCTAGAGCATCCTCAGAACTGTTGCTGTGTTTGCCCCTATTATTCCCGCCACCGTGTCAGGCCATCGCTCTAAGGATCTTTCTCTCTTTGTTGGCTTTACCAGGCTTGTCCTGTAGGGTCGTACGCATTGGCATTGGCTCCTCGGCAGTGAGTTGCTTATTTTTGTTCACCAGGCATGATGTCTTTCTCTAGGGACTTGCCTCTCATGATAACACCTCCAAAGCGCATGAGATGAGTCTCACCATCCTTACTTCTAAGGAGCCTGCTGACTGTATTTTTCCCAAGCCAAATTTGTTTGTTCTCCTGGCGGCCTATGGTATATTCAGTAGTCTTCAAGGTTCAGAGGCATCCATTCTTTCTTCCTCATTGTCCTGCTTTTGGATGCTGGTGAGGCCGTTGAAAATACCTTGATTGGATGAGGTGCACCTCAGTCCTCCAGGGTCTATCTTTGCTTTTTACCCCTCTAAAAGAGGTCTTTTGCAGCAGATTGGCCCCAGGCAATAGATCCATACTGGTAAAACATGGCTTAGTTAATGGGTTAAGAAAAGCTGAGTGATTTCTGGAATCGTTTAAATGGCCAGGAAAATATGAGTTGAAAACCCTACGGGAATGATTATACCTTTAAAAGGAATATACTTTTCTTACCAGAATATGCAAGCATTTTCTAATATTAAAATCAAAGTGAAACGAGTGAGGTTTGAGTTGGCAAGCCCACAAGCCTTAGATGAATAAACGTTGTTTCTTATAGCCTCAGCAAAATGGTGGGGTTTTTATTTCTAACCACTATTAGGTAGAGAACCTTTTCAGAACAGTTTAGAGTCATGATAATGTACCAACTCTTTCTTGGTTTAATAGAATTCATCTTACTTGAATGCACCCAATTCCAGTAAAAGAACATAGTCCATTTCCAGAAAGAGGCCACCAAAGGGAGGTTTGGGGGCTCCAGATGGTAGTTGCTCCCTGGGCCTTTTTTCTTGAAAGATGAAAAATGTATCCCTGATGTCCTGACTGCCTCCTAATGGCCCATTGAGGATGCATCAACTTTATGATATGAATTGGACCAATCTAATTTTTTTTTCTAATTTGATCATTGGTTTTATCTGTGTTCATTTTTCCTTCATTGTCAAACCTTTTCCAAGAACATTCCATTTTCTACTCGTGAGTAACTTCTTGGTTACCCTCTTTTTGGTGCATCCTGAAAGTTTTGAACAGCTTCATAGCAAAAATTTCATAGTGTGGAAGTTAAAAAAATTATATTTTATTCTCTGCCAAACTATAGAAAAAAGGGATTAGGAGGAAAACCTTTGGTATATTAAAATATAGGACACCTCCTGTTCTTCCAGTTCACAATGGACTCTAAACATTCTCACCTATAAAGACTGTTTATTGACCATATTACTTTGTAAGCTCGCCTCCAGCTAAATGCTGCTTTTATTGATTTGAGTATTAAGCTCTGTTTTCTTTAATTTGCCGAGGTGGTGCCATGAATGGAAATGACTCCCCCTCTGACAGCGGCTCTGCTACAATAAAGTCACATGAGCAATTTTAAGGAAACGAGCGGTTTTCTAATAGTATACAAATTCTATTCCCTAAGAGGCTCCGAAAAGATTTCAATTAGATTTGAAATTAGACACCTGAAATCCACATATTTCTCTCAGCTCCTTAGGCAAAAATAACAAGTTAATAACTTAATTCACAGTTGCTTTTTGTTCAGTAGCAGGGGATTTGGTGTTCTATTGTGCAATTCTTCTCTTTGAAATAAATCAGAATTTTACTTTGCAATCTGAAGTGTAGTTTAGAACCCTAACATGAACCTAATCTGAAAGAAGAGCACCCCCCAAACTTGCCACATTCCCCAAACTCCCCGTGGCCGGCAACAGCTGAAATACACACCTAGAGATGCCGTCTGACAACATTGTTCTGTGACAAGAGCATGTGCAGCATTCGAATCTTCTTCCATTGAGCACAGCTTTTGCCCTTTTGTTAAATCTCACTGCCGGTGGACAGGATGAAACTCCTTTGTGTTTGTCTTTCCTGTTGAAGAACCTCAGCAGGTTTCCTCCCTTCCCATGCCATTGGGAAGGCCCCAGTGATGTTTTCTGAAGTCCACTTTCCCTGCCGTCTCTCTTGGAAGGACAAAAGTGCCCCACATGGGAAGATTGTACTTTCATCCAAGTGTGTCTTCTCCAGATGCTCACGTACTGAAACGCAGGCGCCAGGACCCGTGCCAAGCCCGCTGCCAGGCACAGAAGACTTGCAAGAGGGCTTCAAAGAGCTGGTAGAAAATTCAGTGATCTTTTCTCCTATGCCTCATAGAGTAGCCTTGCAAAAATAGGTATTGGCTGGATAAGTAACTTAAACCCACCACTTACTGGGTTTCTTGTCTGGTGCTTTGGCTAAGAGTCACTTTCTCTTTCACTCTGCGGGTTCATCCCGCTCAGCATGTAATCATTTTCTAGCCTCTCCCAGCCGTAACACAGAGAAAGAAAACCAGAAGAAGCAAGAAAGCCCTCGTTGTCTCTGGTCTAATTTCTCCTCCCCTTCACGGGGGGCTCAGCAAGCGTTGGGCTCCGAAGCCCGTAATCGACTCCCCACGCCCCATTCAGTAGATGGCAGGGTCCTTGGCTCGAATCACATGATGGACTCTGATTAGAATAAAGGTACTAGGTACTTTGTAATTGCTAAATCCATTGGACCCTTTTCTGTCTTCATTTTAATGGTTCTCTTGGCTGTCAGATCTCTGGTGGCATTGTGGATTATGCGTTGGGATGCTCACTGCAAGGTCAGCTGTTCAAAACCACCAGCCACTCTGAGGGAGACAGGGGAGGCTTTCAGCTCCCATAAAGGTTTACAGCTTTGCAAACCCTAGGAAGCAGTTCTGGCTGTAGTGGCAGTGGCTCTCAGCTGAGCCTGCTCGTCATCGTTGACCACTGCTTCCTCCTCTGCCACTGGCTCTCACTTGGCTCTTTCCTCCAGGTCCTGGTGTGCATCTCTGAGTGTGTTTTCCTGCTTCCACTGAGGCTTTTTCACCCACCTTCTGAGTTGGGGCCAAATCTGTATCTGTAGCTTCAGATCCGTCTCTGAGCCTCAGCTTTGTGTCCTTATTTGCCTGGACTCCTTCAGGTGCCTGAAATTCAACGGGCTAAAAGCTGAGCTTGTCTTCACCCGTGTCTGATCCTGCAGCCTCCCCCTTTTCTCCCTTTTCCCTGTCAATCAGTTCTGCAGTTCTGCCAACACTACCCTCCAACTGTTCTTCAAATCTCTGCTATCAGTGCTCTGCCCCCAGAGTTTCTTGCATGGACTACTTCAACAGGCTACTAGTTCTCCTCCTAACTCCAGTCTCACACCCCTCAAGTCTGCTTTCTCACTAATCACCAAAGGGAGCTCTCTAGGTGAGCTCTCTGAGAGAGCGAGGCATCTTTGTACCAAGCTGAGTCTGTGAGTTGCACACGTGGTCAATGATCTGGCTGCTAACTGCAAGGTTGGAAGAGCTAGTCGACACAAAGCCGACCTTGAAGAAAGGCCTCATGACCTACTTCCCCCAAAGCAGCCATTGAGCACCTCACGGAACACAGGTCTACTCTGACACCTGTCGGCTCTCCATGAGTCACAGTGGACTGATTAGTAACCGGTAGTGTCTCCAGGACCTGGGGCATGTTACTTAACCTGGTAAAGTTTTGTAAAACGGAGGTGGTTAACCCCTGCATACATGTTGGGCTGTTTTGATTAGTGCTGGAGCCTGTGTGGTTCCTAGCCGCGTGTCTGGCACATGGTGGAGACACAGTTTCTTTAGGAGGAAAGGGCTCCAGAATTTCCTAATAAAGCGGAAATGAACAAGTATCAGAAATTTGTCGTCTTGATGGTTTTCTTAAGAGGGAGGGGATATTAGATAACAGGGTATTAAAGCACTGAGGCACAACTTGCTGAATGGAACCTTGTCTTAATCTGGGTTCTTCAGGTGAGCAAAACCAGTTATATACACCTGTATCTAGCTTTCTTTCTTACTGTTTTTCTATAGAGAGAATTTCTGTAAGGAAACCACGCATACAATTGTGGGGCTAAAATGCCCTAAATTTGTGGGTCAGGTGGCAGTGTGGAGATGGCTCACAGAAATCCCAGGCCTGGTGAATCGAAACTCACCTCTGGCAGCACAGCAGCACCTTGGGCAGGTTGGGGTCCCAGGAGCCAGGGGTTCGGGCACAAGGAGAGTGCAGTGTCAAGAGATGAAGCTTTGTCAGAACATCCATTGTATTCCAGAGGCAAAGCATGCCCCCTACGGAACACCCCTTTCAGCTGATTGGCTGATTGTATATCACCACATCCTAGATGATAATTACATTATATTACTTTGGGGAAGAACAACAAGTCCATGTCTTGCCAAACCACTGAAACTCACAGCTTAGCCAAGTTGACACATAACATCACCTTCACAGGTAGGAAGTATGTACTTCTTGTGATTTCTTTTCACTTGTAGAACCAGCACATCATTTCTGAGCTGTATGCATCATTTTCATGAACCTTGCAAAAGCCCTCAACGAGAGCATTTTCCATGCAAGAATATTTAAAGCTGATTATAGCTTCAGGGCATTTCCCCCCTCAATTCTTGCATAAACCATAGTTTTCAATTATTTCAGCATCACCGTACATATTACAGAGCTACACAGCAGTGCTGGGGGATTTCGTTCCATCACACACCATTGGCTTTTGCAGAGGCTTTTTAGGGGGCAATACAATGAGATTTAAGGCTCTCACTTTTTGTTTGTCAGAAAATACACTTTTACCTACCTTCTTTGAGGACGTTTTTGAAACTCATGGCTTATGAATACATAAATATAACATAACTTCACCCTCTGCAGCTGCTCTGGCTTGTAGATCAGCTCTGTAATGGTTTTTAAGCTCTTGGGAAGAAAAAAAACAGATGCTAGGCCTTTTAATGTAAGGGGACACTATGTGTTTTAATTTCTGCTTTTATAACCTAGGACCTACAGGTATTATGTGGAGAAGTATATGGAGGGGAGAGTATCTTTGTCTTTGAACATTATGCTTTAGTGATAAAGGAAATGGTCAAAATGCATTTAAAGTTGATAAGAGCCTCAGGGTATATATACTCCCTTATGTTTCAATACGTATAGCTCTTCGTTTTTCCCTCTGCCTCCGTCCCTCCTGCCACGACAAGTGGTAAGAATGTAATAAATGTGTGTGAGGGAGACTTTCTGATTTTTGCCTTGGGCAAAATTAGTTAATGATATTCATTCAAATGCAGTGTGGTACAAATGGGGCATATTAAGAGGCTTAAATTAGGTCAAATTGAATAATTGAATTTATTCTTTTACTTAAAAAACAGCTTAATCAACTGAGAGTGCTGAAGTCTAAAAAAAGCTTAATTAATTATTAATAGGGAGTTTATGCTTTCAGCTTTGTCTTCACTGAAGTGATTTTATGTGTGTTTTCCTCCTCCGTTACCTCACATAGCTTCTTGGAGATGAGGTTCAGCCCTTCTCGCTTGATGAAGAATTTGATTACGACAGTGTCACCCTAACCCCCAAGTTCACTGCTGCAGAAATGGACACCATCAAAGAGCGGTCCCAGCAAAAGAGTGAGAACACCAGCCCAGACTTGGAGCAGCCCGCAGACTGACCACCTGAGCCATCTCTGCGTTTGTTTGTATTGGGATCTTACTCGAGAAGAATGAGAGTAAACAGACACCTGTGACCCCTTTGTGTGGTTTGATGAGTCTACATGTCCTCAGCAGAGTTCTCTATCAGTGAGGGGACACAGGCACCCACAGGACTGACAGGGTCTGTACCCTCAGAGATCTCTTGTGCCGTTTGTTACTGCGTCCGCTGACTGGGTGGTATGAGGTCTTCATGAATATTCTCTACTTGATTGATCTGTCCGGGTTCTAACTTCCATCACAATGACTGAACAGAGCTCTCAGATAAAGTTCATGTTGAAAGGGTTTATTGAGGAAGTTAACAAGTTGTAATGCCAGTGAGGTTGGAGTTGTTTCAGGACACGTGACAAAGTTCACTCAGGTCTGCTAATAAATGCCCAGTGAACCAAAGGGCATACCACTCTGCTGGAAGCCCCAACTGGAAGGCATTGAGCTCAAGCTCTGGGGTCGGCAGACCCAGCTCCCTGCATGTAGTGCCCAGAGGCACCCACCCCAGCAAGCCTCAGTTGAAGGCGCTCAACTCCACTTTTGTGGGTCCACACGCTGAAATTCCTTAAGTGCCCCGAAGCACCCCCCTCCACCAGCCAGCCTCCCCTTCCCCAGAAACCATCAAAGTCTTTTTCTTTTAGTCTGAAAAATCTTTTCTTTTTTTAATCATTTTATTGGGGGCTCGTACAAGTCTTATCACAATCCATCCATCCATCCATTGTGTCAAGCACATTTGTACATTTGTTGCCGTCATCATTCTCAAAACATTTGCTCTCCACGTAAGCCCTTAATATCAGCCCCCCATTCCCCCCCCCCCGCTTCCCCCCTCCCTCATAAATTAGTATTATTTTGTCATATCTTACACTGTCCAATGTCTCCCTTCACTTACTTTTCTGTTGTCCATCCCCCAGGGAGGAGGTTATATGTAGATCCTTGTAATCTGTTTCCCCTTTCTACCCCACCCTCCCTTCCCCCTCCCGGTATCCCACTCTCAGCACTGGTACAGATAAGAGCTGGATTCCCTGTGTTTCCAGCTCTTATCTGTACCAGTGTAGATGCTCAGGTCTAGCCAGAATTGTAAAGTAGAATTGGGATCATGATAGTGGGGGAGCTTCCTCCTCTCGTTCCTCTGGTTCTTTTCTTTTCTTTTTTTTATGGGAAATTGTAATGCTTGTTGACCACAGTAATATTCAGTCCTGTGATGACTCTTGAAATGACAAACATAACCGCAGGTGAGGCAAATCAGAAGGGCAGCCCAGGAAATGCAGGATTCATGGTTTTCCTTCCCAGCCAAGCAAGTCCAGGACGTAAGGGTTGAGCTGAGTGCTTCTTTTCTTTTTAAAAAAATAATTGGTCTCATACACAATTTGGCCTTTTGTGTTTGACTAATTTCTTTCAGCATAATGACCTCTAGGCTCATCTATTTCCTGAGCTGCTTTCACAGATTTATTGTTATTTTTAAATGTTGTGTGGTATTCCAAATATGTGGATGTAGTTTCTTTATCCATTCTTCCACCGGTGGGCATTTTGGCTGTTTCCATCAGTGTGGCCATTGTGAATAGTGCCCAGAGAAACATGGGCATGCATACAACAGGTGCGCTACCGCTCTTCTCTAGGGTATACACCAAGTAGAGGGATTGCTGGGTCATACAGCCTTTCTATATTTACAGTCTTACCAGCAGTATGTATGTGAGTTCTAGTCTCTCCACACTCTCTCACAACTGTTGTCTCCTCCTCCACCTCCTCCTCCTACTTTTCTATCAGTTCTGGGGTGAGGTGATACCTCCTCTTTGTTCTGATTTGCATCTCTTTGATGGCTAATGATTGAGAGCATTTCTTCATATGTTTTTTGTTGCCTGAATGTCTTTGGTGGATTGTCCATATCCCCTATTAAAAAATAGATTATTCATCTTTTTCTTCTTGAAGTATTGAAGATTTCTGTAGATTTTAAGATTAGTGCCTTGTCCAATAGGTTATTGCCAAATTCCTCCCCTCCTCCCCCTCCAGTTTCTGGGTCCCTTTTCACCCTTTTGGTGAAGTCTTTTGAGGCACCCGAGTGTCTAAGTTTGGGAGGTCCCAGTCATGTCTTTTATCTTCTGTTGCACATGTGCTTTTCATCATGTATGATAGTGTGTTTACGTCATGCGTTAGGGCTCGAAGTTTGCCCCCATTTTTTCATTGATAATCTTTATAATTCTAGGTTTTACAGTTAATCTTAATCCATCTGAACTATTTTAGAAACTATCCTGAAGTAATAGGGCTGTTTCATTTGCATCTCTTGTGTGACTAATGACCATGAGCAATTCTTCATATGTTTGTTGGCTGCCTGAATTGCAGGAGCACATGGAGATTCAGTTTTGCCGGAAGCATTTGTTGGGTGGGTTTTTCCCCCCCCATTTCATGTATTTCGCCCCTTTGTCAGAAATCAGTTGTTGGTAGGTAGATGAGGTTAGACCTGGGTCCTCAATTCTGTTTCCTTGGTCTATGTGTCTGTTTTTGTACCAATACGAAGTTATTTTGAGTGCAGTGGCTGTGTGGGAGGTTTGAGAAGGGAAAGTGTTCTTAGTAGTGCTCATTTGCTCATTTGAATGCCTTTAATTTTCCTTTGTTACCTGAGAGCCCCAGGGAAGACTCCAGCACAGAGGTGAGTAGAGTGGTGATGAAACTTCCAGGTCACCAGGGCAGTGCTCTCAGTTCCTTTCCACTGAAGGCGCTATTGGCCTTTGGCTTTGCATACATACCCTTTCTTATGTTGAGCGATTTCCCTTCTATTCGTCGTTTGTTAAGTGCTTTAATCAGAAATGGGTATTAGACTTTGTCCAATGCCTTTGCTATACCAATTCATATAATCATAGCTATTTTCTTTTTTATCTGTATGATGGATTACATTGATTGTTTTTTCTAAAGTTGAACTATCCTTTCATACCTGGTATGAATCCCACTTGATCATAACATTTATATATATATATATATATATATATCTTTGATTAATTAGGATTTTGTTGAGAACTTTACAGATATGCTCATGATGGACATTGCTCGATACTTTTCCATGCTGCTGATCCTTTTCCATCAGGCTCATGCTCTTCATGGAATGAATTTGGGGTTTGTCATCCTCTGCTACATTTTGGAGTACTTTGAGTAGAGTTGGTGTCAACTCTTCTCTGAATGGTTGGTAAACTTCCCCAGCGAATCAGTCTGCTCTTGGACTCTTGTTGTTGTTCATATCTTTCTGATGACTTGAACAATTTTTTCTTTTTTGGAAATCCTTGTATTGGGGGCTCATACAGCTCTTAGCAGAATCCATCCATCTATCTATCCATTGTGTCAAGCACATTTGTACATTTGTTGCCATCTTTTTAAAAACATTTTCTTTCTATCAGAAAGAGCCCTTGATATCAGCTCATTTTCCCCCTCCCCCCAATTTCTTCTTTTATTATGGTTTTTTTTTTTTCTCTTCAGGTTTCTATCAGTCCATGTTAGTTTAGGTAGGTAACGTGTTTCTAGAAATTTGTCCAGTTCTTCTAGGTTTTTTAATTTGTTAGAGTACAGAACTTCATAGTATTGTGCTATTATGTTATAAAGTGTAATTTGAGAAGGTAAGACAGAGAAACAAGGAAAGGATGTAAATGTACATTATAATGTACTGATGAGCAACCCTACATGTATTAAAATAAAAGTGGTCAAACTCACTGCCATTCAGATGATTCCTGTCTCAGAGCAATCCTATCGGACAGGGTAACAATTGCCCCTGTTGGTTGCTGAGACTATAACTCTTATGGAAATAGAAAGCCATATCTTCTTCCCGTAGAGCAGCAGGTGGTTTTGACCTTGTGGTTAGAAACCCAACACATACACCAGTATGCTACCAGGGCTCCTTAAATTCATTCAAGGAAAGTAAAAAGATTGGTTTATAAGCTCAGAAAAAGGGGAATAGTAGGTAGGAAACAATTCTTATTACTGAAGGAATCAGTATCAAATCAAAAGTATTAAGTCTCGATTGATTTCCATATGGACCCAAGCTTGTGTTTGGACTTGTATGTGTGCATTCATAAACACTGCCATCGATATCATTTACAAAATAATACTTTTATTACTTTTGTGTTGGGTTACAGCCAAGTGATTTCACACCTATTTTTCTTTGTTCTTCCAACAAATTTTCAGAAAATATCATTTATGTGCCAAGCATTATGCTAGGCAATGGGCAGAGGATAAAAGTACATTAGACTTGAGTTAATTTATCAGGGTGGACAAATAATTACAGTGGAGCTACACTCTCCAGGATGATAGCTACTAGCTTCATGGAGCTATAGAGCACATGAAATGTGGCTAAAATGACCCAGGAATGGGGTTTAAAACATTACTTATTTTAATTAAAAATAAAATTTTTACCCAGTTATTGGGAAACTTTGCAGTACATTTGGAGCAACTTGGATATGTGAATTTCAGCTGTAGAGTTTATGAAATCTAAGTACAGATCAGTTATTTTTGGTGAGAACTTAGTGTCTGAATTACATTATGCTATAAATATACAATACATGTTGGATTTCAAAGGGATATTTAAAAAATCAAAGTATCTTATTATCTTCATGTTGATCACAGGTTGAAATGATAATACTTTGGAGAGACCAAGTTAAGTAAGATCTTAAAATTCACCAATTTCTGCTGACCTTTTTAAGGAGGCTACCAGCATGTCTAAAGTCAGAGATGTGCTTGCACATTCACCTTGGCAGCCGGCAGTAGAGGTTAACCTCCTGCTGGAAGAGGAGTGTGTGCCAAGGCAAAGTAGTTGGAGTTGTTGCTTTGGAGAGCTGAGGGATCTCAACAGAAGAGGTGACATTTGAGTGGGGTCACGAGGAATCGGGAGTTTATAAAGGCAAAGAGAGGGGAAGTGGAAAGGTACAAAGGTATGTGATCAACAGTGGCTTGTTTGAGGAAAAGTTATTATTTCTGTGGCCCAGTGCCCAGGCTGCAGGAGAAGATACTGGATATGGAGGTTGGGCCAGATTCTGCAGTCCTTGGGTGCCATAGACTATTCCTGCTTGAGAGA